GCTCCGGTGCGGGAGGTTTTGCCGCAGGCCCGTTGCCGGCCCCGGGGCGGGCTCCTGGCAGCGGCCGTGCCGTGGTGGCCTGTACCGTGCAGTCGCTCGTGGTATTGCTGGGATACGGCGTGAATCCGGTGTGAGATGGTTCTGACAAGGCGAGGTTCGGGTGCCGTGTGGTGCTCTGCAGGGTGGCGAATCGTGGCAGCAGTGTGGCTTTCGCTGTCTGGCTGGGGATTTCCTTACAGAAGCCTCTGGGCCTTCTACCATGCTGTAGATTTTGGCCGAATTTACCCAAAGCTTTGTTGCGTTGGAGTTGCACTACCTGACAATGCAGTAGCTTAGCAGGAAGTATTTGGGCTACTACTGGTGCATTGGCAGCTCTATTTATGTTTTTGTTACTTTTTAGTGCTGCTAACATCCTTAAATCAACCATAGTCTAGTGTAGGAATTTTGTCTTGGTTTTAAGGAGGTTTTTATAGTTTAGTTAGTCTATTCTGTACTCCAAATTCAATGGTGCATTTTCTGTGTTCCTTAACTAGAGAAAATAGATACTCTCTTCTAGTTCATGTTTTTGAGTTCTGCAAAAGGATTTACATAAATACACTAAAAGTTGGGCTACCATCTTCATTAAATTTAAGCATATGTACAAGTCTCTGTATGAGTAAGATCTTGATGAAATGCTCGACCATGTGGTAATAACTCATTCTAGATGATGTATAGAATTTACGGAATTCTAATAAATGGTATCAACATTTGAGAACAGTTTATTTAACACTGGAGAACTGCATAAGATGCAAGAACAAGTAGTGTTTGTTGGAGATGTTCCCTAATCATTCTGAATAAAGTGGTTGCCTAAGTGGATAAAATAGATTCAGAAGGTTTGTTTTATTATTGAACTGATTGTTATTACAAAAAAATTTAAAATAGCAGTGTCCTTTCTTTTTTATAAGTTGATCTTCAAAATGTGTGACTAGTACAAAGGTGTGTGATTGTATCCAGTTATTTTACATGCATCATTTCGAGATATAGTCACCACTATTGCAAGTTCTTGGAGATTATATATATAAAATGTGTGCTCTTCTCTTTCTTAGCCTGGTGGTTTTGAAAGAGCTATCAGTATGGAAGATAATGAGATCAGTTATAGTAAGGAAGAAGAGCAAAAATCTCTTCTACCATTTCTGGAAGAGGAAGAAAAAGAAGACCAAGCTGGTCAGTTCTCTAATGTGGAAGAACACTGGGAAGGTGAAAATGATGAATTGTTTTGATGACTCACAAAAAACTAACATTAATGTGTCTTCTAATTTAGTAGATGGGAACAGTACAGTTCTAGGGTTGAATGATATTCCAAGTAAATGCAATGATTCCAGTAGGTGTTCTCTAGCATTACACTACACAGCTGTAACTAATCCAAATCTAACCAATTATTTCTGTAGCAGTAAATTCTCTACTTTTTACCTCTGTAAGGCATTTTGATTCAGAGTTATAGATGGTAAAAATCTAATGTTTGACTGTATGGACTTGATTCAGTTGCTCATACATTGGCAAGTAGTGCCACTTGAAGTGCCTCAGACACTCTCATCTGGCTCCAGAATGGCATAGGTCTTCCACAGATTCAACTCTATGAAGATGTTGGATACCGTAAAACATCTAAACTGGCACCAGATACCTCTTAATAGGCAGCCAATTTCTCTAATTGTGTCCAAAAGTATGTTTCAGTATATTATGCGAGGCAACATATCTACCATTTTACAGATTATCATGTATGGTGTGGTGCTGAATATTGATCTTTATGTCAGAAAGAGTTCTTAGGTTATTCTTTTCCCATTGTCATTGTCTTGATCGCGTAAATACTTAAAAAAAAATTTCTGTCTTCACGGTACAGCAGGATAAGGTAGTGTAAGATAAACAAGTTAAACTTGGTCAAAACCTGTCAATATGTTAGCCTCCCTGCCCCCCTGCCTGTGTTTTTGATTTTGGTTTGGTTTGGTGTTTGTTTGTTTGGTTTTTTTCTTTCCACATACATTGGATTGTTGGTGACACTTCCATAATGAAGGCAGAGGGCATTTTCCTGTTTCGGTTTGCAGATGTACAATAGTAGTCCTGTGTGTTTTGCCATTTTTTTTTATATGCGCTGCAGTAATGCTATAAAATGTCATCTCTGATTCTCCACGTTTTGACTTGACAGCAAGTATACTAGAGCTTTGCATTTTCAAGTTCGAAGTCTCTATTAAACTGTTGTTTTAATATCTATTAGAATACAAGCTTGAAGAAGAGTTGGCTGGTGGTGGCAAGATGGGAAACAAGGATGTTTCTGAAGGAGTTCGAGACAAATCTGATTCTAGCATGTAAATAATTTGTTGTTTTGTTACCGGTTCTAACAGTAATTTCCTTTATAATGTTAACTTACCTTTTCAAGGGAAGGTTTGGTTAATTCAACTATGCATTTTTTGTCAAATTAGTCATAGGCAATATAGGCCTTTCCACAAAAAATAAATTGGTTACTACTGTTAAAACAATGAGCTGAGTAAGATAAAGACAGACTCTGGACACTTTTTAATCTGAAGCCATTGTAGGTATGTACATATAACACAGTGATTGCACCACATTAATGTGGGCTAATTGGTTCTCCTCAAAGGAGTGTTACACTAACCGATTTACACTTCTTCTAAAACCCAGCCAGCTCTTTGTAATAATATGTAGTGTTGTGTTCATATCCCTCTGTAGTTGTAGAACATCAACAGCTGTTGGAAAAAGAGAAGTTTGTCTGCTGAAGAGCATCAGTGTTGGATTGTAAATTTTTTTTAATATATACAGTTTTGTACCACTGTGTAAAGTCAATTAGCACAGAATTGGTATGATGATAGATTAGTACTACGTTGACTTTACAAGTAGGTGGTACAGTGGGTTTATTCCTGAATAAATAAATTTACATTTAACAGAGGTCATGCATGAAAAGGAATTTGGTGCTTTGAATGTGGCCTTAAGTAGTTGCTGCTCTATTCACAAAGATCAAAGCAGTTTGGCTTACTTTGACAAGACTGTTAATCTCTGCCCTGGAATGACCTGGCATAGGGTTGTAAGGCACTATGAAAAGCTCAAATAATGTTTATTGATGTATGTATGTGGGAAGTTGCATAGCACATATGTTTACTGCCAATAAATGTTGACAGTGTTACCATTATCAACAGAGAAACTCAAAATACTAAAATGATCTAAAAAAACCTAACCAAAACAAACAAAACAAAAAACAAACCCCAAACCTTCAGACCTCTTCTTGCTATATATTTAAGCAGACCAAAATGGTAAGAGTAGCTCACCCCACAAACTGATCAGCTCTATGTAATATGTTTTAAACTAGCTTAGAATGTTCCTTTTAAAGTTTTAAACTATTGTTCAGGAAAACTAGAATTTGCAAATCCTAGGTATAATCAAGAGGAGCCATAGGCATTTCGAAACAAAGACATACAATTAATGCATTAAGTGTGGGTATCAGTGTTCAGCATTAAGCCAAAATTTTTAGACTTGGATATCTAAGTAGATGCATATAAATTTCTTGTACAGATTATGTTCATTTTTTTCCTTATTTATACTGGTCATATTTGTAACAGTTCTGCTAGAATAAGAGTAAAATGGAAAACAATTAAACCACAAATGCATAAGTGGATGGCGTACAAAATTCATGTAACTTTTCAACTTCTCATTATGTTTTCATTGTTAATTGTGTGTTTCAATTCAAAGGGAAAGCTTGGAACACTGTTTGGGCAATATTAATAATATCCAGGCTATGAAGTATACAGATAGAATTTGCAAATTAACCTTACAGAGGAACCTAAAAGAGCTTAACGACATAGCCAAAGAAAAGAAACTTGTGGTCCAAAAAGCCAGGTTAGTGTTTAAGTGAAGATAATCCATCAGCATAAATCACCATCAAATATTGGGATACTGTATCTGTTATAAATTTTAGAGTTTATATAAATTTTTTCATGAGAGTTACGTGATGAAAACACTTGTTTAATATAATATATTCAATATATCCCCAAACCCTTGTAAAAAATTAATGATCAGGGATAAAAATTAATTACGTACTTGAAAAAATTAAGCACAATAATGAATGTTAAAGAAGAGGTATTTGGTCTGGGAGAATTAGATGCTAAGTCCTTTCAGTGATGTCTGCACAATCCTGCTGGTTCAACAGTCGGTTGGAAACATAAAGTGGAAAGTTCATTGTAAACATTTTCTTAACTGTGATGGAAATGGTACATTAGAATTGGTGAAGTTAATCACATACTTTAAGATAAGCACCTGCTATGAGTGTTTCGCTATGTTAAGGTCACAAAGACATTCTTTAGCGGCAAATATATCTGAAGAAGGCTGATGTAAAAAGATGCCATTTATGCTGTTGTCTTTTTTGATAATATCTGAACTCTGGATGAGGTCAGAATAAACTCTTGCTACATTTTTCTGGATTTTTGGAGAAAATGCTTGAAATTAACAACGGCTTCTGAAAAACCTCCTAAGATCTTAAAAGAAAAAGTGGGATGGTGGGGGGGAGTTGGGAGGGTTGAAGGGATCTTAGCTGTGAATCTTGCTCCCAAAAAGGCAGAGTTTCATGTAAAGAACTTACAAAACATAAATAATCTGTTTGTGTCTTGCAGAGACAAGCTGAGTACCTGTCAGCTGCGGATCAAGATGCTAGAAAAGCAGCTGGAGTATGTAGACATTGAAATAGAGAAAGAGGAGGAGGCTGGCAATGTGTAGGTAGAGAGTATTTCTGGATACCAAAGATTACAGGCAGGCACTATGTTTATCTGTGTAATTAATGAGAGAAACTTTCCTGGTTTCATCTCTTCATGTTGAACAGTTGATAGAATTTTTAAGCACATATGTTAAAGATGTTAATAGATCAGTGATGAAACCCATTGCCATTCTCAGGTTAAGATGTAACTGCATTAGCTTGGAAGGCTATTCTGATACAAGGGTACTGCGCTTTCAGCTAGTGAGCAGAGCAATGCATTCACTCCCATGTTGGTGAACACTAATGTTGCAGTCACTTTCCGCTTAATGTATTTTCAGCAATAATTCCTCCTTTTGAAATAAAGAATAATGGTGCATTAACTTGGGAATCATTGATCTCTATGCTTTCTGGTGTAGAGGTAATATTCTGTTAGGTAAATCAGTGCAGAAAGAGGTGGAAATTTAGGAATGGATAGGAGAGAGGCATATATTTTAAAATATAATAACAGGTTATTAAATCAGTGTAGCCCACTACTGTCAATTATGTTTATCAGAGTCTCAATTGCTTCTGTTCAGTATGATGAGCCAACACCAATGTGCTATGGCAGTTTTAGAGGTCATGGTTTTGCTTCTGGTAACTATTACATGATATAAATCATGATTTTTATATATATGCCATTTCTTTCTCTGCTTGTTTTATGTTGTGAAATGCATGAATGCCTTTCAGGAGTAGTCCTGCATACAGGAGCTGTTCTGAAACACTTTTGCTATAAAGTGGGAGGCAATTTACTGTACTCTTCACATTTGGTTTAAATAGAAAGAAGTGGGTGGCTTGTGTATCAGGGACCAGTGTACTGTGAACAAACTTAGCAGCTGCATTTTATGACCTGAGTTAATCTTCAAGTTAGTGTATTGATGAATGATAGAATGATAAAGGTAGGTTAACTGCCAGAATGGAATAGCTGCTTAAACAAAAATGGTGAGTTGAATGCTAGTAAGACTCCTGTGATCAGCGCTAGTACTCCTTGTTCAGGATCTCAGAGACAGTAACAAAAACCAACAAAGAGAGAAAAGCATTGTAGAAGTTTTTATGCTTATGATGGGTTGAATTGTGAGGTCTAGATATGCAGAAAATAGCAATTCTCACAATCTATTATATTTAGCAAGTGAATAGCGGAGTAAGAAGACTTGATAAATTTCTGGCTTATGAAGCTCAAAGGCATCATGTTTTAGCAATAATGAAAATAATACCTACCGTTAGCATTACTGATGCCCAATACAAAAATTTTGAAGTTAGAGTGGTAACTGCAGGTAGAGGATCCATTTCCAATTTTCATTTCGAGGAAGGGAGTTTATGTTGAATATAGTCAGTTCACTGTTTGTTGATTCTGTAGTTCACTGTCTACTAGTTTTTCTGGGTAGAGAAGACCAAGGAAAATAAACAACTGTGTGGCAATGCTGCCGTTGTAGGCAAAGTACATGGAATATTGCAATGCCATTTCAAAAGCAAAATCAGTCTACGTTCACCTAAACTTAATTTCATTAATAATACTACTTTTATCAGCTTGAGAAATGAATATTCATGTTAAGCTACTGGTCAGTGCTTTTGAAATAAATACTTCTCTTTAAATTTCAACCAATGTGTAATAGATTAAAGAAAGCTGTGCCTTTGAATGAAGAATGGACACTTAGAAGGCTAAATAAAAGACTGCATAAATAGTGGAATTCTAATAGATAAATCTCAGCCTCAAAGCTATTTTTTATTGTTGCTGATCTTGTTGGGGGGGATTTTTTTTTAACCTTTATTAGTTCCAATTTCTTTCTGATTGTTTCTTTTTAATGTTAACAGTGCAGCCTTGTCCCGCCTTCAGGCAATGCACAGACGACTGTGCACTGAACTGGAGAAAGAGAAGAATTTGGAGTTGAAATTTGCTTTGACACTAAAAGAAAATGTGTAAGTGAGGGAGTGAGAAAACAGTGTGATGGGAGTCAATCTTTATTATGGTCTTCGTATGCTGTTTAATGGATTCAAAAGTTAATCACTCCAGAAGTTGCATGTAAATTCTGAACTACATAATTTGAGGTCGTATGAGGTTGACTGCAAGGCAAAGGATCTTAGCAACTTTTAGCCTGAACAGTTCATTGCTTAGGAAATTGGTTGCTGTGGGTCAGCTCCTGAGTTAGTTTTGCACACGTAAATGAAGTTTTAATTTTATTTGGAGTTGTGCATAAATTGTGGACCTAAACAGGTCTCATTTTAAATGGAAAATAAGATGGACTGAAGTAGACCTGTCTGTGATACTGATCTCTGAATGAGCATAAACACTTCTAATTTATACCTCTTAGTGTTTTTTATAGGGCACAAAGGAAAAGATTGAAATTGAGAATGATGGAGACCTTGTAGTGGCACTGTGTATTTTTATGCTAAGCTAATATTGCTGCTTGTAATTGATTGCTCACACATACTAAATTATTTATATAAAACAGAATAAAACTGTCTTTTGCAGACAGCAACAGGTGAGTGTGTTTGTATTTTGGCACCAGATGTACAACTACTAATGCCACCACATCAAAGGAAGAACACAAGCATGAGCTTATAGATGTGATTAACCAGAATACAGTATGTTCTGCTGCAGTGTTGTATAATAGCTTTCAAATGCTTGACTTGTTTACTGTGTTATTAGCAATAACTATATTAATCTGTTCATATGTATCCCTATCATATCTAAATTCCTTCAGCAAAACATGGAAGAATAAAAGCTATGGCCTGTCCCTGAAGTTATTTACAGTTGAAGACAAAGCTATTTTTCTAAATTTTCTTTTTTTTCATATTTTCTTCTGGGTAAATGTGAATTTGAGAAACAGAACCTTGAGCTTTATTTTTTTACTTTTTTTTTGACCAGTATTTTTGATGTCTTTAAAATGAGATATGCTACTAGATATGAGCCTTAGTCTGAAAGGAACAATACCTGTGTCAGTAACAGGGTATGATTTACAATATGATTTAAAAAAATAAGATAAAACATGGCTAGATTTTCATTTTCACCATAGAGTCTTACCTACTCAATAGCCTTAAGTAAGTGAAAGAATGTCAGTATTTCAGTGAAAACAGCTCACACTTTGTTTTAAAGGCTTGAGATGTGGCAGATAGAAACTGAGCAGGGAAAATACGAAATTCTCCATGAACAACCTAAAAAAGATCAGGAGGAGCTAGAGATGCAATACCAAGAACGAGCCAAAGTGCGGATTTGGAAGGAAAAAATAGCAGCACTGCAAAGAGAAGAAAATCGGCGGTCTAGAGAAAAGTAAGCGCCTATAAGTCAGACTCTGCTTCCTTTCTCTGTATTATTTTTAGCCAATTCACTATTTTAGGTGTTGAGAAGATTAGCTAATTCAAATAACCAATGGTATTGGGTTTCTTAGCTGGGTGTTGCTTCAGGAATATTTTATGAGGAAATGGAATTAAAATAAGAATTGTCCACAGTCTTGCAGTTATGTAGGTAAAGATTTCTGATGTATGAAAATGAACGTGCTAAAGACAAAAACTGTGAATGCTTTTTGTCTAAGGAAATTAAGTTTATTAGATCAGACTAACTGCATATGTCTGCATTGTTGTTGGCTGCCAGGACCTTCTGAACTTATGATCGAGTTCATCGAGATTTCTTGGAGAGAAAGAGGACACCAGTTTATCAATTTGTCTACAGGTTTTGTGAAAACAAGAGACTACGGGGCAGGGGGAGACTAATGTCCTCATTTCAGCACATATTAATAAACTCCCCAACCCCACCCTTAGATGTCATTGTGTTGGAATCAAGGTTTCCTTAGTCCTGCTGCAACTGTTGGTTTGCTTGTGTTTTGTAGAAAAGAAGAGGAAGCTCAGAAAGAATATGAAGAAAGGCATAAAAAAATGCTTGAAGATGCCAAAAGGAACCATGAAAAAGCAGTATGCTTCCTGAGAAAAAGCATGGCAAGGTTATTGTTCACTCCTTTTCTGTCATTGTACATTCTCTCGTGTACAATACTTTATCCTTTAGTCTTTGAAAAAAGTAATTTTTCTGCTAGGTGTATCTTCTGTTACACTTGGAAATCTTCTGCCACGGTACCAGTGCTGTGAAGCATTCAAATCTTACATGGCAGAAAAGGACTTGGAAAGGAGAAAATCCACTTACTGTCCTATTATGGTCTTCAGATTCCCTGTAGCTGAAGGGACTGTCTTTTTGATGAGATGCAGAAGGGTCTGACTACTTGTAGGCATTAATAATGATTTGAAACATTTTATATATGTGTGTGTCATTAGCTGAAGTAGTTCGAAGTAGTATAACTAAATTCCACGTTTGAAACTTGCACTCTGCCGTTCTATATTCCCTCTGAAATGTGGTAAAAAAGCTTTCTTCTGTCTGGTAAAATTGGTTGATAGGCCATTTCTTTGTGCTCGTGTTCTTTTCTGGTTGATGGTAAATTAAATGTTCTTGTCATAGGTTTATGTTTATATAATTACTGTGGTGCTGAATTATTTGCTACTAAAAAAAGTGTGAACATTTGTTACTTAATTTTACTTGTATATTAGGACTTAATTGAAAAAATGATTGAAACAATTGTACTGTTTCTGTTGGTTTATTTTTCATTGGATGGCATGTGCAAATTTGTAATAATTAAGAAAAACAAACACCCAAATAAGATTTTTTTTTTTTTTTTCTTTTTCCTTCCCCTGAGTAATGTATCAAATATCTTACTAATTTTTTCCTGGTTTACCATTATATTAGCTGGAATACTCTCTGACTTGATTAATGCCCACATATTTCTAGCTTTTAGAGTTTCTAGGGTTTATTTTTAGTGTGAGTACAAGTGGTTGGCTCGTATAAAGTTCACTATGTAATTTTTTAGATATTAGTTATATGAGCAACACCTGAATTCTTAGTTTATTTTGGCAACTAAACATATGTCATAATGTGGAACACATTCTTCATATTGAAAATAAAAATAAAAAAAGTTGTTGAGCAAACTAGTTGAAAGCCTGCTGGCACTTGTAACTTGAGCAGTACCGTATATAGAAGAGTCTCCCAACTGTTTCACTTTACCCACACCCAGTATCATAGTAAACACAGAGGCTTACAGGAAGAATGGTGACGTTGACAATTACTACTTGTCAGGTTAAACATTCTAATACTAAAAGCTTTCCAGTACATAAGCCTGAAAGATTTTACTTTGCTTACAGAATTCATGAAGAAAATGCGAAGGAAGAAGTGAAAACTCAGGAGCATATGGAGAGAAGGATACAAGCTGTGCTTTCCCTGAAAAACAGCATAACTTCCAACAGGGTACTGCTGCTGTGGCTTAGATGGGGAATGAAGAAATTGACTTGTTAGACTGCTAGGTTTTAATGAAAGTACTTGCAGTTTTCATTGCAGAATTGTTGTGTGATGCTGTCAGATCACTGACCAAACCTCTTTTGAAACTGGGGGGAATTTAACTACAGGAGTAATGGTGTTAGATTTGTATGGGCGGATTTTGACACTTCTACTTATGGAGTTTATTCTGTCAACTATCTAGTTGTTCTGGTAGGGTAACTCTCGTGAAAATAATGGATACTACAAGTAAGTTCTCTGAAAACTCGGCCAGAAGCGTTTCCTGTTATTTGGATCCCAGTGCAGAAATACTTCATATGGAGAAAACATATGGAAGAAAACCAGTTACTTAAGAATTTAAATAATGTAAATTAAGATTTTCTGAGCTATGCTACTTTGCTCTTATGTTCAGTAGAATCTGAGGGAATGATCTTAATTTAAAACTGATTCGATTAGAACTGTATCTTTTCACATTACTTCATTGAGTAGCATTTCAAGGGCAGGCTAGAGGGGTAAAGAAGTAGCCCTGACCTCGTTAGAGCTTTCTGCACCCCATGACTACTGTGTATATTAATAAGTTCTACTTCAGAAAAATCTACTGCAAATTTATACTTAGGTGAGGGGACCAACACTAGATTGTCTGTTTTATATTCTTTAATATGTGAATCAAATATGTAACTGTGTTTTGTATGGCTTTATAGGAAAAACTCCAAACTCGACAGGTTTGGAACAAAGCAATGGCCTTTGAGGCAAAGAAGCAGGAGATAAAAATGAGGGAAGCTATCCTGGCAGAAGGAGGCAATGTTGCCAAGGAAATTTTTCTCCATAAACGACTACTAGAGCATGAAAAAGAGAAACAGTAAGTATTCATATCTATATCAAACTCTCGGCTGCTTACTGATGCAAGAATATATTGGAGCTCTTAATCAGATTCTGAAAACATAACATCTATGATGCTGTCTCAAGGGAGTGAACTCATTCTTATACCTGTATGTGTGATATTTGTATAGCCTGTTTTAAGCGACTTGGACTTCTAGCTTAGGTATTATTCAGAGAACCGAAGTTAGGAGCCCATGTTCTATGGTTAGTGCAAAGAAGGTAAAACTATTCCAGGAGGGACATTCAGTGATCCTAAACTGGATGCCTGAAGTAACTGTACTTCTGCATTTCCTGAACGCTGTCCCTATAAAAATTGAATAGCTTAGGCTTTTAGAGACGATCTCTGGAAGATTGCGCTGCAGTAAGGTCAGAAGCAAGGACTCTCCTTCGTGCCTTTTTTATTGAAATTACTCCTCTGCCTTTGTAGTAAAGTTGATAGGAATGTGCCTGTATCTCATCTGCTCCAGTGCAGAGCTTAATTACTGTTTTTAACCACTTATGAAGATGAATTTGAGCTAAGATACCAAACAGAGAGTGGTGATACCAAGCAGAAGTATGTGTTTCTGCATGCTGGCTCTGCTTACAAAGGCAGTAACCTGTAGCAAATGTTAGAGATTTAATAAGTAAAGGTTCAGTACGTCTTAAGTTTTGATTAAATAAAGCTTCAATCTTGCTAGCTACATAACACCACTTTTGCTATCCCTAAATATGTTCTAAAATTCTTTTTAATAAAATAATCATGTCAGTTTGTAGAGATCTGCTGGAAATATCCAACTCTTATTTAAGTCTAATCTTTTTCACCTTGCTTGCTTTCTCCCTTTCACTGTTTCCCTTTGCAGGCAGATCAATTTGTTAGTCTTAATGTTAGCTGTGTCATGTTTCTCACAGCAGTTCTTTCTAATTTGAGCTACCATCCTGCTAATCTGCTGAAGAACTACTTAGTTATTTCTCCCAGGGTACTGCCTTTCTCCTTTTCTGCAAAGGGATATTCTTAGTTTTCTCTGAGTATATTTCAGCCTGAATATATATTTCTGAATTACATGCAAAAGAAAAAAATAACTTTTTAGTCATTAAAACCATTATGTCATTAATTTGTATATCAACTATAAAAAGATTCTTAAAGAACTGATCATAGGAACTGAGGGTGGCTTTGTACTTAAGGCAGATAGCACTGGGAGTCAGTATACCATTCCTATGTCTTTGTAACCATGATTAACTTCTTTGTACCATGGTTTTCCAAAAATACATTATAAATACGGTGTCATTTATCTGCTGCAATGGGGCATCATGAGGCTAAATTCAGACATTAAAATGCTTCAGTAGGCAATAGCCTGTATTTAAATGAGGTGATATTTTCTTTGCTCCTATTTAGAATCAGTAATTATTTATGTGGATTAGTTGAAGAGGTGAAAGTCTACATTAGAAGTGATCATTAGTGTGGATAATATTTGTTGCAGAAAATTGTGTATTAAACTGCTGGTATTAAAACTGAGATTAAATTATCTACTGTCACTTTTGTCACACTACCCAGTGTGTCATGGAATTTGTAGTCATACATAGCTTTGGATTCATATCTTCCAAGTTCAGTACTGATGTCCTTACCTTTTAACCATTCTTCCTCCCTTCATTAAATCCACTGGATTTCAGATAGGCAGTTTTCTTTAAATAGCTAACTAGGTTAGAAAAATTATTTAAAAACTTTTTCAATGGCAATGACTGATACGCTTTGTCAACTCCTCAACTTCTAAAACACTGTAATTGAGTATATTTAGTCTGCAAAAATGTATAAATAGCCTCTGAATTGCCTGGTGCCTTGACACAAATTACCACTGCACTCAATTTAAAGGCTTGCTATTTAGCTTAAAGGCTCAGAAGAAACTGGACTGTAGTTAATATTATTAGTAAACAACCATGGTTGGTTTAATATTTCTTACAACATTGGATTACAGAGCTTATAGAGAACAGCAAAAATCAAGAAAAATTGAGATTGTTTCTCAAATTTTGCAAGAAAAAGCTTCTATTCACAAGCAGAAAAAAAATCAGTCCTGTACTAAGGCAATAAAGGGTGGTGGTAAGGATTCTTTACTGTGGAGAATGAAAACATGGCAATATATTGAGAAGACCTGCAAACATTCAGCTGGAGCACTATCACAGGTAAACAAAGGCCTAAGAATTAACTGTCTTTAGATTTATTTTTTGTCAAAGGTGCAGGGCAGTGAATTCTTTTGCCTGTGAATAGCACAGGCTACAACCAAACACCAGACAGTACAGAACAAGTGCGGAGTAATTTCTCCATTAGATCTCTTAATGACTGTTAGTCTCCCTTTTCTTGATTTTTGATGCTTGTATGAATAAAGACATTGTCCTGTTTGGTGTGGGGTGGTTTTTTTAAGGGCATTTGTAAGAATAGGTGAATTTTCCAACACATGAATTGCAACAGGCATCAAAACCCATGCAAAGTACCCTCACTTCCTGTTTAACTGCCTTCCTCCCTGAATAAGGATTCAGATCAGTTTGTCAGCACAAGAGAAATGTTTCCACTGTATTTGAAAGGAGACAGTGGTTCTCTCTAGACATAAGTTTCCTGGATGGGTTTTTTTATCTGCACGGTATTCCAGCGAGTACTGGCCTGGAAAATGGAGATGGAGTGAATTGAACTCCCAGATGAATCTAATGGCTTCATGCAGTCTTTAGGTATTTAAAAGAAAAGGAGTAGGGGAGAGGTGTTGGTAGAAATAGTCATAATACAACAAAGTCTTTGGTCATCATGTGATACGCAAAACGCTCAAAAACTAGTTGGTATTCTCATGCCTGAGGACTGGTTTCTAGCCTCCTATAGTATGCAGTTAACATCATATAGATGCTTTTAACATAAGATTTTGTCTTAAGAAGGGATTGACCTAAGATGTCATCTTTGGCCTCTGAGCTTTATAGACCTGACATTTTTGTATTAAAAGATCTCCTCAGAAACTGTTAACTGTCCTCTAGTAATTTTTAACTATATCTTCAAAACTTACATTCTTTCACAGAAGTCATGGTGCTCTCCGTTAGCTTGTTCCTCAGCTGGTGAGAGAACTGCTTCTGTAGGAGAGATTTCTGAAAAAATACCCCATGATGTGCTCTGTGAAAGTGGTGAAGATGAGAAAGAGAGGGACAAGACCCTGGTAGAACCAGAGTTCCCGGGACTTTGGAGTCAGGAATGTGACTTGCACAAGGTAAAATGTTGTGATATCTCTTATTAGAAATAGAAAAGAAAAAAAAATGTGGATGAGATCCTTTTGTAATTGACTCATTGTAAAGTTAGCCTTTACAAAATTTTGACAGTATCCATAAAAGTATTTTAATAGATTAGGAAAGTTTCATTTGCCCCTCTAGTAGTTGTATATATCTGAAGTAATGACACTGGCAAGTGCTGTTTTAAGAACCTTGCTTAAAAACAATAATTATCTATTTTGCGGTTAAAATGCAGACTTTATTACGTAGATGTAGAGATTCAGATGTGAGATTATAATCAGAGTAATTGCTGTTTGACACTATTCTTGTAGTGTTTGCTCTTTTAAAGAGAAAACAATACTTCAGTTTTAGTTCAGAGATATGTGAAGACATACATCACATCATGTTCACTTGTTTCAGTTTAAAAAAACTAAACATGACTTTCTGTTGAGTTGGCAACACAAATTGTTTTATGTGGAAACAACTTTTTTCACACCATACGAGGCAAAGAAAAGCGTATCTTCTAGCAAAGGAACAGTATTCTACACTCTAAACAGAAGTAAATAATGCACTCTTATGGAGTGGAATTGTGTAGTTATGTTATTCCGAGGTATACTTGCATATACTGCTTTTCTGAGATGTAGAAGACCTTTAAGAGCAGACTTTATAATCAATCAAAAAGAAATAATGTCAGTACATATTCAAATTATTTGCATGAAAGAAGCAGTGGACCATAACTGAAATGTTCCAGTGAAGTTAGCTGTTTTTCTTCTGAATGAGTATGTGTTTAAGAAGCTGAGGAAAAAAACCTTTTTAAGTGCAGAAGAGCTAATACTGCCATTAAAAACATTATGTCATAGTGTGGGATGATGATAAGCTACAGAAGAGACAGCTGAGAATAAATTAAATTCTTCATATAGAAGTTGGGAGGCTGAGTTTGATCTGGAGAGAAACAGACAAAGTCTGGCAGATATTAAAACATTCCATTCGCAGGCTTTTCTACTTTGAGCTATGCATTCTGTGATCACACTTACTTAGTCATGGTGTTTTTTACTGATGTTCCTTATTAGATATCCAAAGAAGAAATGGATCCAAAGCAGCTGGCTACAAGGGTAGAGAAAACAGAAATTTTTGAGAAAAAAAAGGAGGAATTCCAAACTGGAATTTTTCACAAGCAGACAGTGTCTGGTCATGAATGTAAGGGACGTACTTTCTATAGTAAACCAAGTTGCATTCATTTCAAGGTTAGTGGCCATTCTGCATAGGATCTATAAAGATGATGTATGTATCTACTATATGTATATACTGATGTCCTGATCAAAATTCTGTTGCACTGGGAAGAAAAAAAAAAAATCTTGTTGTCTTTAATAGGTCTTTAGTCAAGTACTTACAGTACTTACCTTTTTCTTAGGTAAGCAATCTCTTAGGTAAGTTATAGTCAAATTAAATAAACTACTTAGTTTTATTACTTAGGTCTAAATTATAAAATACTTCCTTTACTTAGGGGAATTCAAATACTGTCAGAAAGGTGAGCAAATGATGAAACATCTTGTTAGACTGTGTTCCATGCTTTTTAAAAGGCAGCGTAACTGTTACTTATATATTGTTTGTACATACATTATTACTATAAAAAAAAGTCCTTAAAGAAGTCATGACTACAATCCAGTTAAGATTTCAGTTTGCAAGTGACCATCATATTGTACTGGTCATGAGGAAACTGAGCTGCAGTTTATGTCTGTATTGTAATTAACAAGTGTACTGTGGGAAGGTATAACACTATGCCTAGTTCTTCTCTGTACTTGAAAAGGTTGCTAGTGTGGCACATCAGACAAGTCTTCTAACTGTGTCAGAGAAACATGCTGCCAGTCAGCTTGCAGGACTCTTCTTGTCTGTGCATTAATGAACATGCCCAGGTATACACTTTCATGGCGTTCTGGTTTTATTAGGAGCTGGGAGCCTGTGCCTTGCACAGCAGACCTCCTTTGGAAGACAGTGGCACCTAGCTCTGTGTTCAGAAAATCTGTATTGTCTTTGCCACACACAGTCTAAATTGTTAACGACTCTATTAGACCATGAATGTGACATAATGTCTTTGACATTCACTGCAGGAAAAGACAGAGCAGCTTGGTGCATTAGCTGTGCACAGACCCAGATAATGTTGCCCTATCCATGAAGCATGAGTTCCTGGCTTTACAGGCTCTGTGTTTTAAAAGGGTTTTTTTGGAGCAAGGCAATGCTTTATGGGTTTATAATACTTTGCACACAAGCCTGTGATCCCAGTAGGGACTGTGAGCACAACTATGGTAAAAGTAGTTGGTTTTGTCATTACATGTGTAAATGCTACTTCCTGTAATTCACACCACCTGATATGTTTGGTGTTCTAAGGATTTTGATGTTGGTAAAATCTACAAAAAGAAGATTGTTTTGATAAATGCATCCTACGGAGTGAATTTCTGCAGACTAGTGGGAATCAGTGAATGGCTCAAGGACTTCATCAGTATTCAGTAAGTAAAATTAACTGTAGACTCGTTGCGTGTTTTACCTTTGTACCACAACAGGAGATGTAACCAAATTCTGTAGCAAATTAAATAGATTTCAGTAAATACATCTAAATTATTATATTCCATTCTTGTGTGATGAGGAAAGGAACTGTGTCTCAGAGCTGAGAAGTAAGAGGCTTACTGAGCCTGAGCTGCAAGTCATTGGTTTTTATAGTGGTGATAGCAAGGGACCAGTCCCTAATCAGTGGAAAGCAATATAGACCTGTGGTAACTGCCAGCCCTGAACAAGTAGAAAGCTTTTTTCCAAAAATGTCAGACCCTTTTAAAAGCGGGAAAAGGATCTCTTTGTAGGTACAAAGAAGTAAAAGAGGACCCAAGCTTCTTTCTAGGCCACCTCAAAGGCCTTTAAGCCTAGGCAAACCTCTTTTACCAGCTGCCATCCTTCATAGCATGATTCACACTAATTTCCAGATTACTGCTGAAGTTTAAATGTGGAAAAGCTGATGAAATAAAGGAATCCATCTCAGAGCAAAGAGCACTTAAATTGAAATCCTGTAGTCTTTCCCATCAATCCATTCATATAATCCTGATGACAGGTTATATAATGAAGTACTCTGTCCAGTTGGGAGAGATTGCACATTAATCTCAATTGAACTGTATTGATAATTTTATTTGACTGTTTATAAATAAACAAATGGAATTATCCCCAAAATGTTTCTTTTTAAGAATAATTCAGTGACTAGCTTCCTCTGGAGATATTTCAAGCCTTTAAAAACATAAAATACTACTTTTCACAACTTGCCTTTATGTAAAAAACAAAGTCAAAAAAATAATATGTTTACTTGGAACTCTGTGAAACAAAAAAAACTTATTGTGGTCTAGCCCTAGAAGTGAAAAAATGCCAAAACTCTTGTTTGTGTGTAAGTGAAGCTTATTGACAAATAGGAGACATCAGAGCAAATTAATATGGCTTACATAGAAAGTTAAGGTTTCAACACTTATGGCTGACTGACCTGAAGAAACCATTTCTGTGACTGTTTAATTATACCCCAGTGAAATAAACAAGTTGTATTACCACAGGAACTGATTTCATACTCCAGAGAGTTTTACAGCTTGCTACCCACTGCCTCTTCGTAGTGATAGACTGCACTTGGAATTTCTAGCTAGCTTGATAAGAAAAATTATGGTGCATACTTAAGCTGTTCCTTGCCCACTTAGTCCCTATAAGAGTACATTGGAATGTGAACATAGTACAGTTCTTGACTGAATGTAATCACTTGAGAGCTATAAAGTCTGAATCCAGCTGCCGTAGAAGATCTTGGTAAAGATGTTTAGCACTTTAGTCACAGACTAATGGAAATGCATAATTGACCACAATACAGCAGAGCACTTAAGCTTTTAAACTTGCTCTGGTGCTCGGCTGAGTATGAGTGTAGTTTTTTGCTTGTTTTGAAATCCGTGTACGTGGATTTAATTTTGACCCACTTATAATACATGTTTAATTCTATCACAAAGTCTGAAGCTACTAATCTTCTGACAAATGAGTTTTTTTCCTGCTCTGAGATTGATTTTTCACGCCCCCCCCC